CTTGATTGATATCGTTGTGTTCAAACACGACCGAGGTAACTTGTTGTCTACTGGACTCTTGATTGATATCAAACAGTTCAAACACGACCGAGGTAACTTGTTGTCTACTGGACTCTTGACTGATATCAAACAGTTGTGTTCAAACACGACCGAGGTAACTTGTTGTCTACTGGACTCTTGATTGATATCAAACAGTTGTGTTCAAACACGACCGAGGTAACTTGTTGTCTACTGGACTATTGATTGATATCAAACAGTTGTGTTCAAACACGACCGAGGTAACTTGTTGTCCACTGGACTCTTGATTGATATCAAACACGACCGAGGTAACTTGTTGTCTACTGGACTATTGATTGATATCAAACATTTGTGTTCCAGAACAACCAAGGTAACTTGTTGTCTACTGGACTATTTATATCAAACAATTGTGTTCCAGAACAACCAAGGTAACTTGTTGTCTACTGGACTATTTATATCAAACAATTGTGTTCCAGAACAACCAAGGTAACTTGTTGTCTACTGGACTATTTATATCAAACAATTGTGTTCCAAGACAGAAAAGGGCATCTTTCCTTCGAGAGTCTTGTTACTCAAACAGCTTTGTTTCAAAACGACCATTGTAATATTTAGTTATAGTTGTTATAATATACTACATATACCAAAGTAAAAACTTGCGCGACTTTTTTTCTTGATTTTGGTGAAATTACCTAAATCTATTTCATAAACGTATCTATATTTTTCGAAGTATAAGATATTATGTTATAGGCTTGTAAGTTTGCATTAAATAAGCTTTTAGATTGTGTTTACAAAACGATAATCATACCCCTGTAAAAAGATCACATTATTACAGTTATCACTTTCAAGGACTTCTCATACGCATAACCCCACGTGCAATGATTTATGCTTAAATTTCATAAGATGAAATGACAGTTAAAATTAAAACATAGCAGTGGCATAGTGGTATGTCTGCAGATTTACAACGCTAGAAACCGGGTTAGATACCCGTGGTAGGCAGAGCACGGATAGCCCATTGTATAGCTTCGTGCTTAATTACAAACATAGAAACGTTTTAGAAGTTTAGTGTCTGGTTAGCTAACACCTATAACCACGTGCGTGTACGATATCTCTATCTTATTCACGTACAGACGTACTGTAATTAAACATTTAACTAACAATGCTGTATTCTAAATTACACTACAAACCAATATAATAGAATAGGTAATTTAATACATCATCACAATGGGTTAGATTCGAGAATATTTGTTGCAGGAGGATTGTTATTAAGTTTGACTTG